GTGGTTGCCTTTTAATGATATCGACAACTGCGGCTTGCTCAGGGGCATTGGAGGGGCGCGTGAACTATTCAGATATTGACGGATGAGACGTAGCATTTGGTTTAGGCAGCCCAAACCCTGCCACCGTTATTTTCAGTCACGCTTTTCACGCAACTTTTAATACAGTATGTGTAAAGTTTGTGCTGATCATTTCAGCACCTTGGACAGTTTTACGAAACAGTTTTGGAGCAATTTGTGCTCGACCTTTGCAAGTCCGAGCACACATTTCTTTTGAGGCTGAAAATAAATGCATGGCTGAGGTTCAACAGACGCGCGCACTGCTTTAGTTCGCAAAATATTCCAGCATATTTTTTTGCGGCATTTATCTCTCTACCGTCGCCAACACGCCGAGTTTTAATCTTGTAGGAGATCACGGCCTTTCATTGGAATGTGTTAGATATCTGAGTGCGAGTTGAGCATAAATCAGATCACATCACTTCTCCACTCAAAGGGTTTCTTACATGGCCATCTCACGTAAGTTTAGTTTATTATGCCCGTTTCTAGTACCATATGTTATAGTGCTGCTATTTTTGGTGTATGTACTCAATAGACCAGGTGAAAAAATGAGCTCAAAAGAATGTTAATAGTTGTATTATTTAACTATTGCATTTGCAATTTTGTGTATTTGTTCAAATAAGAGATAATTTACTTTCATTTTGAAAAATGTTTTCACGATGAATGCCTGTTCATAGTTTACTTGGGTAATTATTACAAATAATTATGGACAGTTGTGTGTGCTTGGTCATGTTTTTCCAAAGGCGTTCGTTCATGAGTGGCCGACGTAGGGCATTATACTTTTTGTATTCACGTGTATCTCATGTTGACTGCTACGGCCAAACCATTGGGCCCACGGCTGCATTGAACACATTCACAGCAAGACAATTCGTTGGAGGCGTAAAAATACATCGATTCATTGCTATCGATTCTGTGTAAGAATGTTTTATTTCGATTTGTATATGTTGTATGTAATAATTTTATGTAAGCTATACAGCCACTAGTGGCCGCTAAATGAACCACATTGGAATAAAAAGATTCCTCAACCGAATCGCGACTGAAAAGTAACAGTTCTCTGATCACCGGAGGTGCATCGTTACACCTTTTGAATATACATTCTGTAATTCCAGTGTTATTTTCATTGCAATGATTCACTTTGTTTTAAGAAATCAAGAGCAAACATGTGTTTGTGCAAGCATAACATGTGGCTCGCTTATCCGATGTTTTTCGTTAAGAGCATTTGGATAAAAGTGTGTGGAAACACCTCCAAATAGCATAGCACACTGTGATGGATACTTTAATGCAACGCTCGGGTTTTATAAGCAGTACAGTAAACACAATATAGAAGGATCATCGGTGTTGTGGCAAAATGCAATCGCATATACTCGTATAATTTGAGCTTAACGCGTAAGGGTGAAACAAGTGCGACTCGGTCATTGACCTCACTCCGAATCACGTGAGACGTTTATCAATCATCAGGCGCGTGTGGCATGTAACAACTTAAGTTTTGCGGGGAGGCAAATTGTTGAACTCCGAAAGATGTTACTCGGGTTTGGGAAATCTTGTCCGAGATCATTGTAAGGTTGTGCAACTTCCAATCACTGTTCATATGTTTCGTATGCACTTAAGTGTTTGTGTGCGTTTGAGTTTCGTTAAATAGCTGTTGGACAGCAGAGATCTAATGGAATGATTTAACATTCAAATAAAAAAAGTGAATTGTGTTAACCTGCCTCCGATACCCATCAAAGTTTGTTTTCAGTGTGGTGGAAATATCTCTGGGCTTGGGTCCAGGCTTAACACGGTGGAATCCCAATTCCTACCCGAAAATTTTCGGATGAACGTCAACTTAGGCGGAGTCGATATAATCAGCTCGTGTGCAGGTTGCCAGGTGTTATCTTCTTGGTTCTTTCGGTAAAGTCACGTAGAAGGGAAGTAATAAAATAATAAAAATTAAACAATATTATATAATTTTATTATGTTTTATTTTTTTTATTTTATTACTTCCCTTCTACGTGACTTTACCGAAAGAACCAAGAAGATGAATCCCTGCAGTCACGAAAGCTTTAAATAGAAATTTTATTATGTTTTATTTTTATTATTTTATTACTTCCCTTCTACGTGATGACTTTACCGAAAGAACCAAGAAGATGAATCCCTGCAGTCACGAAAGCTTTAAATCGAAATTTATGCCAGGTGTTATGTTGGCAGATGCTTTGGGCACAGCAGCCTTCATCCAGCGGTGTATTGAACATGGCTGGGTGGCTAAAGCGCAGCAAGTTGGCACAGTAGGGGGCACAGGTGGTGCATCAGCCACTCATCTCGGTCATCTCGGTCAGTCGACCCGTGGCACCTGCAGGGTCTGCCCCGTGACTTCCTGCTGCCCGGCAGGCGTTCGACCCTTCACGTGGACTCAAGGTGCACCTAGCCTGGCACAGGCGTCGTGATGACATCACCGCCAATAAGTGACGATTGGCGGTTGTTGGTGGGGGGGTGATGGTGGGGGGTGGTGGGGGGGTGATGATGGTGGGGGGTGGGGGTGGTGGGGGGGGGGGGGGTGATGGTGGTTGGTGGGGGGGTGATGGTGGGGGGATGAGAGGGGTGTTGGCAAAATCACGAGCCGGTGATGGTGGGGGGGGGTGATGGTGGGGAGTGGTGGGGGGGGGTGATGGTGGCGGGGGGGCTGATGGTGGGGGGGGAGTGATGGGGGGGTGAGGTTGAGAGGGGTGTTGGCAAAATCACGAGCCGGTGATGGTGGGGGGGGGGGTGATGGTGGGGGGTGGTGGGGGGGGATGATGGTGGCGGGGGGAGTGATGGTGGGGGGGGGGGTGAGAGGGGTGTTGGCAAAATCACGAGCCGGTGATGGTGGGGGGGGGTGATGGTGGGGGGGGGTGATGGTGGCGGGGGGGTGATTGTGGGGGGGGGAGTGATGGGGGGGAGTGATGGGGGGTGAGGGTGAGAGGGGTGTTGGCAAAATCACGAGCCGGTGATGGTGGGGGGGGGGGGGTGATGGTGGGGGGGGGGGGGTGATGGGGGAGGTGATGGTGGGGGGTGGCGGGGGGGGGGGGGGTGATGGTGGGGGGGTGATGGTGGGGGGGGGGTGAGAGGGGTGTTGGCAAAATCACGAGCCGGTGATGGTGGGGGGGTGATGGTGGGGGGTGGTGGGGGGGTGATGATGGTGGGGGGTGGGGGTGGTGGGGGGGGGTGATGGTGGTGGGGGGGGTGATGGTGGGGGGATGAGAGGGGTGTTGGCAAAATCACGAGCCGGTGATGGTGGGGGGGGGGGGGTGATGGTGGGGGGGGTGATGGTGGCGGGGGGGGTGATGGTTGCGGGGGGAGTGATAGTGGGGGAGGGGGTGGGGGTGAGAGGGGTGTTGGCAAAATCACGAGCCGGTGATGGTGGGGGGGGGTGATGGTGGGGGGTGGTGGGGGTGGATGATGGTGGGGGGGGTGATGATGGCGGGGGGGTGATTGTGGGGGGGGAGTGATGGGGGGGAGTGATGGGGGGGTGAGGGTGAGAGGGGTGTTGGCAAAATCACGAGCCGGTGATGGTGGGGGGGGGGTGATGGTGGGGGGGGGGTGATGGGGGAGGTGATGGTGGGGGGTGGCGGGGGGGGTGATGGTGGGGGGGTGATGGTGGGGGGGGGTGAGAGGGGTGTTGGCAAAATCACGAGCCGGTGATGGTGGGGGGGTGATGGTGGGGGGGGGGGGGTGATGGTGGCGGGGGGGGGGGTGATGGCGGGGGGGGTGATGGTGGGGGGGGTGATGGTGGGGGGGGGGGGTGCTGGCAAAATCACGAGCCGGTGATGGTGGGGGGGGTTATGGTGGGGGGTGGGGGGGGGTGATGGTGGGGGGGGTGATGGTGGCGGGGGGAGGTGATGGTGGGGGGGGGGTGAAAGGGGTGTTGGAAAAATCACGAGCCGGTGATGGTGGGGGGGGTTATGGTGGGGGGTGGGGTGATGGTGGGGGGGGGTGAGAGGGGTGTTGGAAAAATCACGAGCCGGTGATGGTGGGGGGGGTGATGGTGGGGGGGGAGTGATGGTGGGGGGAGGTGAGAGGGGTGTTGACAAAATCACGAGCCGGTGATGGTGGGGGGGGGTGATGGTGGGGGTGGTGGGGGGGGGGTGATGGTGGGGTGGGTGATGGTGGGGGGGGTGATGGTGGGGGGGTGATGGTGGGGGGGGATGATGGTGGGGGGGGGGTGATGGTGGGGTGGGTGATGGTGGGGGGGGTGATGGCGGGGTGGGTGATGGTGGGGGGGTGATGGTGGGGGGGGGGATGATGGTGGGGGGGGGGTGAGAGGGGTGTTGACAAAATCACGCGCCGGTGATGGTGGGGGGGGGGGTGATGGTGGGGGGTGGTGGGGGGGGGGTGATGGTGGGGTGGGTGATGGTGGGGGGGGTGATAGTGGGGGGGTGATGGTGGGGGGGGATGATGGTGGGGGGGGTGATGGTGGGGTGGGTGATGGTGGGGCGGGTGATGGTGGGGGGGGTGATGGTGGGGGGTGGGTGATGGTGGGGGGGTGATGGTGGGGGGGGGATGATGGTGGGGGGGGTGAGAGGGGTGTTGACAAAATCACGAGCCGGTGATGGTGGGGGGGGGTGATGGTGGGGGGTGGTTGGGGGGGGGGGTGATGGTGGGGTGGGTGATGGTGGGGGGGGTGATGGTGGGGGGGTGATGGTGGGGGGGGGGATGATGGTGGGGGGGGGGTGATGGTGGGGGGTGATGGTGGGGTGGGTGATGGTGGGGGGGGTGATGGTGGGGGGGGTGATGGTGGGGGGTGGTGACGGTGGCGGGGGGGATGATGGTGGGCGGGGGGGATGATGGTGGGGGGGTGGGGGTGAGAGGGGTGTTGACAAAATCACGAGCCGTCTCACGTGACGACCTCTTAGCCAATCGCTGAGCACGTGACGTGACCCTCTCCCTCCTGGCCAATGAGAGCGCGGCGCGAGGCGGAAGTCGTCGACTGCTGCCCGCGTCGCCTGAGGTCGCGGCCTCCTCTCGGCAGCGGCGGCGGCGGCGTCTCCGAGTCTCCGAGTCTCGTGAGTTCCTCAGAGAGACGGAGACGACTCGGGGGGTAAGGAGAGAGACAGCCCCAGTGTGGGCCAGCGCCTCTCGCGAACGCGTCTGAGAGGAGGGGGGTGGGCTCGCGTCTCCGGTGAGCATCGCGCGCCGCGCGGATAAACTCGCTAGGCCGCAATCCCTTTAACACAACACTAAGTACTGTAACACTACCACTAACTAACACTAAGTAACACTACCACTAAGTAACACTACCACTAGCCATACCATTAACTAGCACTAGCACTAACCATACCACTAACACTACGACTAACTAACATTACCACTAACTAACACTACCACTAAGTAACACTACCACTAGCCATACCATTAACTAACACTAGCACTAACCATACCACTAACACTACCACTAACCATACCACTAACTAACACTACCACTAACTAACACTACCACTAACCATATCACTAACTAACACTACCACTAACTAACACTACCACTAAGTAACACTACCACTAGCCATACCATTAACTAACACTATCACTAACTAACATTACCACTGACCATGCCACTACCACTAACACTACCACTAACTAACACTACCACTAACCATGCCACTAACACTACCACTAACACTACCACTAACACTACCACTAACTAACACTACCACTAACTAACACTACCGCTAGCCATACCACTAGCACTACCACTAACTAACACTACCACTAACCATACCACTAACTAACATTACCACTAACTAACACTACCACTGACTAACACTACCACTAACCATGCCACTAACACTACCACTAACTAACACTACCACTAACTAACACTACCACTAACACTACCACTAACTAACACTACCACTAACTACCACTAACTAACACTACCACTAACTAACACTACCACTAACTAACACTACCACTAGCCATACCACTAACACTACCACTAACCATACCACTAACTAACACTACCACTAACCATACCATTAACTAACACAACCACGAGCCATACCACTGGAGCGTCATAGCTATCATCGGATTCCCCCAGTGTAAATACATATTGAGATTCTGACTAACACTGCCGCTAACTAACCCATAACACTAACCCATAACACTAACCCAATCACGAACTAACGCTAACCCCTCGCTCCTCTTTAATCCTCACCGTAACCAAAAGCCTTTTCAGTGTTGAAGTTGGCTTCAATTGGCAGTGACTCAATTCTCCCATGTTGACATTCATTTGTTGAAGATATGCTATTGACTTTTCACAATGTCATTTTTTATGAGACGTAGAAGAATGATGATGGTGATGATGAGATTAAGCTACCGTGCATGGTGGTGGTATGGACGATGATTGAGTGGGTAAATGGTGATGTGGTTGATAATGATATATTCGCAGTGATGTTGGTGACGTTAAATTTAAGCAACTCGACTCCATAAAGGTCATGGAGGAGGGGGTGAAATCCCAGCCAGGGATCAACCACAGCCATCGTCTTCATCATCCAGAATCAATCGAATGGGGTTGGGGGTACCACTTTGTGAGAAGTCAACAGTGTTTGTCCTATGGGTGTTACTGACGCCCCCAATGAATGGGGAATTTCCAGCGCCGAATCAAGGCCAATCTACCTATGAGTGCCACCCAGAGCTTATTTTAGTGTCCGAGCACATGCACTGTACTGTACATTGACTTTTGACTGAACACGTTGATGGCATCACTACGGTATCATTATTTGCTGTAGTTCGGTGAACACTCGTGTTTAGTGTCGGTTAGCTGAGATTCGTCTCTAAGAGGAGTCCTCTGAGGGCACCGATTTCACTTGCCAGGCTCGACTCAAATCCAACCCGTCATTATTGATCTTTTAAAAAAATGATATTACGATTGTTTACCCGGGAAAAGATTCACCGAGTCAAGAGTTCGGCCAAGTTTCCCAACATCATATTAATCACGCCATGACATCATACAATCCAAGTAGGATTTATAAAGCATCTAAATACATTATAAGCAATTTTTTTTATTATTTTTACCAGGTAAGGCCCATTGAGCTCTATAACTATTTTTCAGAAGCGACCTTGGCCTCACACGATAGCTCAACGAAGTGGCTTCTCACTTGGACATTTGTAGCAGCCAAATACTCGAAAAGCATGTTTCTAAATGTGGAGGGAAAACCAGAGGACCCGGAGAAAAATCCACGTGACCACGGGGAGAACATGCAAACTCCAAATATTCAGGTGTCAGGGTCAGGATTGAACCCACGGACCACCTGTATACTAGGTGAGGTAGTTAACACCTCGCCACCAAAATAATCCTCATTCCCACCATTGTCATCTACTATCAGTTCCCTTCCTGCCATCATTCACGAAATTATCCTTACTATCCTCACCAATGCTGTCATAAACATTGCTATTATCTTCCACACATCACACAACACCCTTATTGTCATCTTCATTCTCGCTGTCATCTTCCTCACCATTTCCTACCATCATTCACTCTGTCATGCAATAATTTATTTCAGCTGTCGGTCTGTTTAGAAAATATTTCCGGACCCGGCACACCACATACAGCATACATCGTGATATAACTACGTCTAATAGTCAAGTGCCTATTGTAGTCGACCAGGTACGGGGGAATATTTATTGGGAATTTAAGCCCTCCTGTCATCACCACTCACACCACCACTGCCCTTACCATTCTCATGATCCACACAGTCTTCGTCGTCATCAAGATCGATAACTGCACACGTTTTAGATAGCTTAGCGATGGCCATCATCCCGTTGGACGCGAACTGAAATTGTATAAATGCGAATGCTTTATTTATATGGGAGACTCATTGAGCCTGCACTCCCAGCCCTCAACCCGGCGTTAAGGCCGTGGGCTTTCCAGATGTCTTTTGGCTGTTGGACAGACTGCGTACTTTTCACGCATTGTCAGCGTTGATCGCTGATGTGCGAGCACACAACTGAGCGCAAGTGAAGTTTTTAGATGCTGTAGGTGCTCTTTCCGACCAGGAAATTGTGCACCGAGACCACATTCGTCTCTTTAATAATAGCCTCGTAGAAGTATTGAGAGTGCCACTTACGAACTCCAAAGGAGCTCGTTCATCAATACTTGACATCACGTTGATTTCATGAAATCAAGTGTGATGTCCAGTAGAACAGAATGCGACAAATCGGTTGTTTACATGTTCTGCATCTCGAATTTGGAGTGATATGCTCTGGTATTCATGGGGCTTCTCTTCGTGATATGCTTTCCTCCCACAAGAGTTGTCAGTGATGAACATGTATTAAATATCTTCCATTTCAAAAGCAGATGCTTTTTTTTGTGCCTGACAACTCAACGCACACTTGTTGGTGGTGTTTAATATTACAAACTGCACGTGGGGTTTCTGACTGCATGTGTCTTCACGTGGGGAAAACTTAATTAAATATTCTACCGTTAGTCCAGTTGAAACAACCTTTCATCTGTAGGTCATTGATAATGGAGCGATATCCGGGTAAGCCACCTGTGTAAACATGGTCACATTTGAATGCATAATAACCTAGACGCTTTGCCCTGGGTTAATGAACCTTGTCAATAATCTATCGATTATAGCCACAGCAACTGCACAGTCCTATGTTGTTGTTTTTCCAGGATTTTTCTGTTGCGTGTAGTCACTTTAAGATGTTTCTTGTTCATGTTTTTGTTTTGTTGCGGTTGCACCCGAGTCAAGAGCCCCATGGCTCACAGGGTTATACCTAATAAATGAAAAAAACTGAAAATGATTCGGCTGAGGCCACAAAATGCATATTTGCAACAAAGTGCCTGGTGTATGAGTTAGGCTTTTTTACGCTGCACGGAGCACTGTGCATGTCAGTGTATATATTGTATAATTCACAAGAGTCGTTACAAACGAGTGTTGGAAGATGCGTATCTCTGTTGTTCCTGAACTCGTGTTGGATTGCCCATATTACAACTAAACTATAGAGTATTCTTTGGGTCTTTCGGTAAAGCCACGTAGATAGAAAAATAATAAAAATATCACGATGTTTCAATCGTAATACAAGCAATCATCATCATCAAGTGAAAAAATATAGTGGGTGAGCTATTGAGGCAGGAAAAAAAAGACCCAAAGAATATGAATTCCTGCAAGTCACGAAAGCTTTAAGTCTAAACTATAGATTATTACCTTGATGGGAACCATCTTCTCTATATGGCCACCACTGTTAAGTTCCCACAAAAGTGGGTTCCATTTTATCGACCCTCAAGGAATGATGATGATGATGGACTGAGTTGACCCCTGGAGATATCATATTCTGAGAGGCATATGAGATGTTACTATCCTAACTGATGTCTACTGCCGTATTCATAGCAGTAGCTATGAAATAAATACAATGATAATAGTTCTTACCTTGTAGACACTTTGCTAGGCTGTGACCCAGGCTGTCTAACGCAAATTTCAAAATTGTGAATGAACAAAAATATACATGAAAGTTACAGCCACGCATGTCACCAGGACGTGTTTTAATATTATCACTGCATTGACGTTGAAATATATGCAGATAACTTTGCAGTGTTCTCACTAGAGTGTGAGTGCTATTCTATTAACCGTTACTTCAAAGTATATTATTCTCACAAACAGATAGCCACAAAACACATTCTAGGTACGTGTGTACAAGATGAGAGCACAGAGATAGTTACAATCCTGATCGGTCTCAGTCCCACTGACATGCACTGGCCCTACGAACCTTCAGGAAGGTAGACGCACATCCTGCGGCCTTCAGAACCGGTATTTAAAGGTCATCTGTAGCTCCACCACTGAGAAGGAACCACACCTCGTGACAAATCACACCTGCGTAACCAGTCTTGAGGCAGCCGTAGCATGAGCACCGATTCTCATGGCACATTTGTGTCGCTGTCATAGCTTAAATTTATGAGGCAAGCAATAATGGCATCGTTTGGTATTCGTAATGTTGTGCTTTTTAATCTCATTATCAATGTGTTCTAAATAGAAAATCGTGGTGTGGAGGTCATGCCACAGTTGCCCGAGACTGGCTCTGAAATTGTGGCTCGTCACAAGGTCGCGTTACCCCTCAGTGATAGAGGAACAGAGATCTTTAAATCAGTGTTGTTCATTGCAAGGCCCGTGGGCCACTGGCCTCTTGATGTACGGCCCCCGACAATATACGCAAATGTGAAAACACCCCATCGTGCTGTCAAACCCCAATGGTTTCAAATGTGGTGGTGACCCTGACATTGATGATATCTTATTAGCGAAAGTGGCCCCCCTCTGAAAATTAGTGAAGAACACTGCTTGAAATGTGGGTTCTGAGGTTAGCTGGGCATGTCCACCCCTGATGAAGGTTTGAAGTCAGACTTGACTGAAGATGGTCTCGCTCTGAACTGCGTAATCCCCGTGCTCCATCCGAGATGGACTCCTTTTCCAGAGTACAAAGAAATATTTCATGATCATGCCTTTGAAACTGTTCTGGAATCTGATGATGAGAGTGGGTGCTTTGTTTTTTGTTTTGCTTCTCTGCCTGCCCTCGTTCCATTACACGTGCCTGGGCGCGACGGACAGCGGTGACGGTGTGTGCCTGCGGGAGAGACTGAAGGCGCGCGTGGTTGTGTGGGAATGCAGGGGTGTCGAAAATGAGTGTCCGCACGGTGCGCAAGGGCATTCACGTGGACCAGTCGGAGCTTCTGTGCAAGAAGGGATGCGGTTACTATGGCAACCCGGCGTGGCAGGGCTTCTGTTCCAAGTGCTGGCGCGAGGAGTACAACAAAGCGCGCCAGAGGCAGATCCAGGAGGATCGCGAGCTTGCTGAGAGGTCTGCGGGAACCCACAGCTACAGCAGGCACTGCAGTCGCACCCCCACTGGGTTCTGTCAGATAGTAAACGCCTCCGATCACAATGCATGCCTCGTGCTACTTTCACGTACCCTCGCGACATTTTTAGCCTCAGGTGTTTTCGGATAGAGTGCTCGACGAGCGTGTCAGCCTTCCCCTCAATGCACCCAAAGCCTTCCGTTAAGGAAAGGATGTGGAGGCTGCTCGATGTCCCCTTGAGCATTGAGAGGCTGTATGGACAGATCCAAGCTGGGATAGTAAGACTGCTCGCTTTTTCTTGCTGTATAGTTAAATTTTGTGTCCTGAAACAATCTACTCCAAAAACAAATCTGGGTTCACTCTATCAGTGCAGTTGGCAGTTCCTGTAGTTTGGCTCTTGACTGTCAGGCTCAACATTGAAACCTCTTCTGTAGGTCGTTTTTGGCCAGGCAGTATTCTCTGCCGTAGCCGATGTTCAGTGGATTTCCCACCGCTATGATGACGACATGCTTGTTGCTTGTCCAGTGGTGACGCATTTGAATCGAGGTTCGAACAATGTTGCGGCCCATGCGAAACTGAACAACACGTGCAGCCAGCATTGCTTCGTGCAACGTTATTGCATTAAAGTGACACCGCTAAACCTCATCGAGAGGTCGCGCGATGGCCGGACCTGCGTCGTGATCCGTGCGCCGTGCCGTGTCGCAGGCTCCAGCGAGAGGAGGATGAGGCGTACGCCGGCAACCCCAGCGGCAGCTCCCAGCCCATCACGTTCGCCAAGTTCGAGGAGAAGAAGACCCAGGAAAAGACGAGCAAGGTCAACACTGTCAAGAAGTTCTTCTCGGCTTCCAAGACCCCGCCAAAGAAAGGTTTTTGACTCTCGTCGCATTAAACTCGAAATTACATTTTTGTCATTTAATACAGGGGTTCTTGAAAAACATGTGAACGCTTCTGAGAATTTGCAACAATACCACAAGAAATGTGGCTCCGGGCTCTGGAGAGACCACCTGGAGAAGATTCCATGCACGCGTTGACAAAGATGGCGAACAAGTGGAGACTCGTTGACTTTTTGAAGCTATTAACATACTTTTGTTATCATGTTACAGTCTATTATCCGTTCTTTTTCCATTAAAAGCGATAGTCCCATATAAGTGTTAACATTTTCTTTGAAGCACCCTTTAATTATCAGCCAGAGATTAATCCACTACAGGATGAAGGCTTACCAAATCCCTTCCCCATGACAGCACCATCCCATATGATGGTCCCGTGACACCAAGATCTGTGTCACTCCTGCATGACTTGATCTCTGATCTCGTCGTTTCACCACCTGGGTGATCATCGTCTCAGGTGCATTCTCTCCATAGGCCGCTGTTCCATCATCAGTTGCATCCATTCACCATTATCCCTTGCAGCGGTGTGACCGACCCAAGGCAAGGTGGTGCTTGTCTGAACAGTCAATATGATATCTCCAATTTGCGTTCGCTCCCTGATATGTAACTTTTCGCTTTCTGCCTGCCATACATGCATCTTTCCACGCATTATGTAATTCGTGTAATTTGCAGCATTGTTACATTTCTTGGTCAATGTCCATGTTTCTGATCTCCATGTGTCAGTCTACCTCCCAAACTATATTTTTGTATTGCCAGCTGTCTTGTTTTTGCCTATAATTAGCTTTGGCCTCTGGCAATGTTGCATTATTACAGAATGCTGTGTTCACTAAGGATAGAGCCATCTATGAAATGTTGGGTTTTGTCCACGAGAATCAAGTTAATTTCAATTCTGACATCTTCTGTTTTTTCTTATTTTTATACCATCTAAATATAATTTTAAAAAAATTTCCAACGTTTAAAAGTTGTGGAGTAACATACAATAAAAATCTAACCTAGACATATCAACTATAATAAGCAAACCGTAAACAAGACCGACGTTGACCATGCCAAAACACAACCGTACGTAACATTGTCTCTGTATCATTGTTACCCGGCAGCAATCGCCATGCAGCAATCAGAACATGTGCAGATTATGAAACTCAACTTGTGTAGCTGAATGAGCCCTTTGAAGATTTTCAGAGTTCACATTTTTCTTTCTTCCCTGTCCCATTACATTATAATTTGTCCCTGTGTCGGGAAGCTCACAGCGCCACGTTACCCAGACTTCTCCATTCAAATGCAGATAATTGCGTGCGTGTTCTGCCGTTGCACGTTGCGTGCATGGAAGCGAGATATGTGGGTAGTGGGTGTGACGAGAGGAGATGCACAGTGACGTGGCCTGTTTAACACATATACTTTCGCAACCAGTATCCACAAGAAAGTTTTTTTTTTGGGTTAGATCGCGTAAATATAAATGTGTCGTTAGCCCACCACCAGCGGTCCCTCGTTCGTCGCTAGATGCAGAGGTTTCTTATTTGAACCCAGCGGTCGCCCTGATTATTACTGTGTGTGTCATAGCCGTGATAATACGCTCTATCGGCTTAAATCGCAATGGTTAGTGCCGGCACCACGGTCCAAATATGACCAAATTCGAAAATGACCCACAGATTGGGTTCATCATTGCAATCCCTTTGCCCCCAACGGACAGATTAATGCCCGTTTACACGGACAGCTGCCACTGCAGGTTCCCTTTCAAACGTTTGAGATGTAAAGCACTCTGAGACACAGTGGCATTACAAGAGGGCATGATATGAAAGGCGTGATTATCCTGATTAACATTCCCTTATGGATTCTTACAAAAATCATTACATGCCTATTGGTATTGTAGAAGATTTGGCTGGATGAGTCCTTTCTGACTGCAAAAGGGGCTAATGGCCCTGGTGACCCTGGCCCTTAACAGCTGGGGTGGCTCGCTCGGTAGAGCACTAGCCCTCTTAGTCCCAGAGTCGAGAGTCCAGATCCAATCGGGGAGCATCTTCATCCATCGGTCACCAAGATCGTCATTCTTCCGATGTTCATTTAAGTCAGCGGTGCATTCTCTATTGAGAGATGGATACCACCGTATAAATGTGGACACATTTGGGAAGCGTATTAAGCTAATGCAAAAATGAAATATATATATATACTATGAAAGTGATATGGTAATGTTACCATCAGCTGTAACGGTCACGTCATCATGCGTCCATGCAAAATATTACATCACCATTCGAAACTGGTGATGTCTTGAAAAAATTGTCTTTATAAACCCTCTTATATAATAGTTTGAGAGCCATAATAGCAGCTGTGTGAGAAACACATGTGGATGCATGTTGAAGAAATCCAACCACCAACAAGAACAACACACACGATGCTGATGAAACGTGCGTGTAACGGACGGGCGTGTCGCGATCGGTCAGACGTGCCGGATTCCAGGCCTCCGGATAGCCGCCCAGTGATGCGTCAGCAGAGCCTGGAGAGCCAGCGCGTGGCCGGCGAGTTCACCGACTTCCTGAAGCTGCTGCGCAAGCCGGCGGCGCAGGACATCTACAAGCGCTGCCGCGCCTGCATCGAGGGCATGCAGCTCAAGAGGGTACGGGCGGCGTGGCGATTACGGCGGAGCGCGCTCGCTTGCTTCTCGTGGCAGGCCCATACCGCAGCGATCCCGGGCTTCAATTGTAGGCGTGTATTGTTGAACTTTCGCACCATGTCGCCAACCGTGCTAATCGGAGGTGCGGAGGGAGGGACAGCACACTAAACACAAAGCCGTAGAATCTTATTATTTTCTTCGGGATACTTACATTATTCTTTGGCATGTGTCGTGACGGGTACTGCAAGATTTGGCAATGTCCATCCAGTGCACACTGAGGTGCATTGGCTTTCCGGTTGCCGAATGAATACGTTATAAGATCACGCTCATTACACACAAAGTGCTTGCCACAAATGAACCACAATGCCTTGCTGATCTCAAATAGCATAAGTCATCACGCCAACTCTGGTCGTCTTCGCAGCCACTTTTGGCAGCGGTCGCTGCATTTTCATATGTGCTTCTGCGGCCGTCTGGAATGCTCTTTATTCAGATATTAGGAAGCCACAATCTAGATTGAAAACTCATTTCTTTAGAACAGTTTTTTGTGTTTAGTTTTGTTGTCCTTCCCTGGCACCTCCAATTAGAACGGTTGGCTACGTACGGTGCGAAAGAAGTTCAACACACATACATGTTTTATTTATTTATTTAAAGCTTTCGTGACTGCAGGGATTCATAGTCTTGGTTCTTTCGGTAAAGTCACGTAGAAGGAAAATAATAAAATAATATATTAATTATATTATTTTATTAAGAATATACATACATGCATTGAATTGTGTGTGTAACAATCATATTTTTTAAAATCACTTTTAATCTATAACCTAATTGTAACATTTAAATTGTTGCTCAATTTAGTAGGCAGTAATGACTATCCTCTATTGCGATTCGATGAATGTCCATGATTCCGGTCATCTGATTTAAAAATGGATTGAACATCTCATTGGTATGCTTTTTTTAAATCTCACTTATGCAGTTTTGTTTGTGATTTTATCCTAAATGTAACTTTTGAATCTCTTTTTCTTATATAATCTACATCAATTATATTTCGGCTATCTTGAACAATTTCAGTTTTTGGTGAAAGTAAATTATTATATTTCATAGATTAATGGGTGCATAAATACCTGCTTGCCAGTTAGTCATACACACATCTCAAAGCTTCGCACGCACACTTAGTTTGTTCTCCTCCTGCAGCACCGATTAGCACGGTTGGCTATGTACGGTGCGAAATAAGCTCAGCGTACATGCACACATACAGTGGTTGGGCAAAACCTTAAGAAACCACTCCAAATGGACAACCACAGGGCGCAGGCTGGTGCTCTCTTTTAGACAGACATTTGAAAGCCTCTGGTGTCACTGCCAGCTTTCCTGCCGTAATGATGCGTATCATCGTCACGACACGAAGGGGATGCATGAAGGCAGGTTGATGCGTGGCAGATGGCATTGCTTTCTGATTAGACGGCTTGGGATCGTATTGATGAGATGTAAAGGTTTATTATGTGTAAACCAGGAAGAACTGCCTTACTACAAAAGCTCTTTGGGCTGTCCCACCACCACAGTTGTGAGGTTCACAAGCACAGGCCAGATGTCCGTCTTGGCTTCCAGTTGCGCTCATTACACACAGTGCTTGCCACAAATGAACCACAATAGCGCACTAATCTCGTCAAGGAGCATAAACCATCACGCGAACCCTGGTCATCCCCACAGCGGCTTTTGGCCAGCCATCTAACAAAGATGGTCACCGCATCGCACGTTTTCAGATGTGCTTTTGCAGCCATCTGGAATGCTCTACCTTCCAATATTAGGAAGCCGCTGGAGCTATGCACTTTTAAATCTAGATTGAAAACTCATTTCTTTAGAACTGCTTTTTGCCTTTTTTGTTTGTTGTCCTTCCCCCGTACTGCCAATTAGCATGGTTGGATACGTACGGTGCAAAAGAATTTCAACATACCTACGTACATTGTGTGTAAGAATCGCCCTGTGTTCATTGAGACGCTTCCAGAATTGCACCAAGCCTGCTCTTTGAGAAGGCGGCAGTGTTACACGCAGTACTGTATGTGCGTGTAATGTAATATGTGCGGTAATGCAATATTGACATGACACCCGCCCATTGTGCGATGCCACATGGGGGGTGGTCTGTGCATTGTGGTCTGTGGATCGTTTTTTGTTAGCACTCAGTGTGTGAACTCCTGCGTTGACTGCCTTTTACCAACCGCAGTTTGTTAGCAAAGCGGAATCGCGCATTTGAACTGATGTGCAGCCTATCTTGACTAAACAAAGCGCAGTTGTCACTAATGGATTGAAGTTGTATTTTAACACCTCTGTTCATTTGTGTGTTTTTATTTTTAAAGGACAAGAGCATTGAAGCACAGTCGGACTTCGTACAAGACTTTTACCAGACCATGGCCGAGCGGCTGCAATGTCACTCTGTCTTCAAAGGTACTTTCACGCCGCGTTACTGCCGGGTTGGCTTGACCAGCACTCACCATTCAGGACTCCCGGGTGCTTAATACGAGGCTCAATCATTGATAAATAATGAAACCTCTTGGAGATGTCATTTTCAATCTTGTATGCTAGGCAAAAAGAACTTGGGCTTTGACAACATGAAATTCACTTACGGGATGTGCCTAATTACTTTGACGTGACTTTAATGAAAAATGCCGACAGCATTGGGCTGGCCACTCCGCGCGCGCCCGCGTGTACGCGCATTCAATAACGCGGCGCAAAGCTGCAGGGGCTTCAATACTCGTGCGCTCGCTCCCTCGCTCGTTCGCATGAGCCGATTTAATTCGTGGGGGTGTCTAGAGGGTGGCCGCTGCAGCTCAGGAATTCTGTCTCGTGCTTCCTGCTTTATGCACCGACGCGTAAACACCGCCGCAGAGGCTCCTTTCTGCTTGTGCGTGATACGGCGGTCCCCGCTGCGCCCGCTGAGCGGGCAACGCCGCGTCGGCAAAGTGCATCTCGCCAAACACGAGATATTGCGGATAATAAAAAATGAATGACGGCACAATTCAGGATCGTGAAACCCGCCCCCCTCCCCCAAAATCTATAAATAATTCATATATGCTCAGGACAATGGCATAAGGCTACACAGCTTGTATGACTTGCGTGATTTGCGTGGTATCCTGAAATGCATTCAAAGGATAGCGTTTACGTTTTTATTATGAATTGTCATTGCTGTACCAGTGCGTACCCGCCGCATGGTACGTCGTTAAAGTCAAATGTCAAATTTTAGGAATGATGGTATCGTTGTAGTGTACACGGAGCGGGTGGTAGGGCCCACAACTTGCACTCAAGGTTCTCCCAGTCCAACCCCTGGTAAAGGGTCAAATCAGCCCTTAATCCTCTGGGGTCAATATGTACTTTATGTATTGTTGATCTTCTTTGGCACAGTAAGTAGCCAACCGTGCTAATTGGAGGTGCAAATATAGACGGGTGACAATATTGTGTGTGACAGGAAATCAACAACGGTTCTGTGTGCAGACTTGCCCCACCAAAGAAATGTGGAATTTCCACCACCAGCTCAGATCTGTAAACAAAGGATGAGTGCAGCCCCATGGTCAATTGGGCAGGACACGACTTTAACCTTTTATCTTTAAGTGTTGCATTTATACTCATCCTGTACTTCCCAGCACACTGAGTAAAGCATGAGAGCTCAATAAAAGCTCTCATGGGGATAGCCCCCATACAATTGTTTTCAGAATTAGTATCATTATTTATACTCTAGGAATCCGATAAGCTATAAAGCTCTTTTTCAACACGTGTCCAGTTGGGGTTGGTCATAAAGTGACAACAACAAACAATACAAAAACACGATAGGAGTGCAAAGTTTCGAAAAGGTAAGCAAATCACTAAAAAAATACAAGTACATCTAAACAATTTTTAAGTTACCAGGTAAAGCCCACTGAACTATTAGCTTCTTATTCAGAAGCGACCTGGCCACAACAGATGATAGCTCAATGAAGTGGCTAATCGCGTGGGAATTTATAGCAGCCAAATAATCCAAATGATGAACAGCTCCTGATTAAACACAGTGGTGGAAATTGGCGGAAAAGGACTTTGTCCCCGACATTAATTTAGTCGCTCGGTCTCTCGAGTCGTTGACCGCAAGAGTAGAAACGATCCTCCCATGTCCCCGTGACAATACGGGGTCCCGTACGTACAAATATGTTCTCGCTTGTCTTCAAAAGAAGTGATTTCATTCATGCATTGGCAGGGAGGGAAAGCAAGTCCGGGCAAAACTGCCTACTGCACAAATGTGTTGATTTCCCAGCACAGAATGCCTTGAGCACGCAAGCTGCTCCGGAGCGTAAATGCGAGCGTTCCACGTGAGAAGCTACGTTGCGCAAATTTCAACCGCAAGGCTCGCGATACGTTATGAGCCGTAACCCCATCGGTTGCGTTACGTGGACATCACTTCCCTTGGTTGTCGGATGCTGGTGTTTCTCGTATATGTCTCACAATGACTCGTGTTATTTGCGTGTTTTATACAGCACGTTCTGTTGGTACTCAATTATGGAAACGCCCTTTATTCTTGCTTTGCGCTGGGTGGGATTGTGTAATGAAAAAGAAGAGTCAGCAAAGCTGTGAGAAGACCTTTTCAATAATCATAGCTGTGTGGAAGTAAAAATATCGTGGCAATCTTTACACTGGAGATAAGGTTGGCAGATTCAATTCTAGGGGCAAACTAGCACCGCGCCTTGCCTCTCATGACCCCATCTGTTTTCCCACGGTCAGGGATCTTTTTTTGGGAGATTGCGTTTTCATTTTCCATTCGAGGCATCGCTCAGTGCTCCGCTGCAGTCCCGAGCATCGAGCTCTCGTCGTCGTAAAAAAGCGGAACTGGCGATCGTTGGTGACGAGTCGCAGCGCTAGAAATAAAAAAAGAATATATTTACGTGTCATCGACAGTCACGTGACCTGTCACGACATCTTTTGAGTACTACATATTTACCAATGTTAATGTTTTTGTTTATATAATTCAGTGTAATTTTTACTCATTAATAAGCAAATACTATAGATGATTAAGCGCGACATATATGCATCAAATCGTGTGTTTAAAATGTGGTTGTAAATATTGTGGATTTGCTCTCCAACACACCGGTTTGTTGTCCTAGTCGGGTGGTGGCGGGTTTAACGACACATTTGTTGTTAAGCGATCGAACCCAAGAAACCGATATTATGGTTAAAATGTGATGTTTGTTGACAAGTATATATTGTATGTAATGGGTTTACAGCAAATCAAAGCACTACCATTTTACCACACTATTAAAGTAATTATTTATTCTTAAATTGAATACCAATTACGAGTGGTAAAAAGTCATCAATTCACCAAAGCATTATAGGGTGTCCGGTAAATATTTGTATATATTTAAATAAATACAAATTCAATGTGCGCCCCCCATTTTTCATTAATGTCAATTAACTTTTATCTCTAGCAACTTTGAGAGTGCTGTTTGTTGCTGGCTTTTTGACATTTTGGGCCTTTGGGTCTGCGGCCTCCCAATGGTGTTAAAAACAAATGCCTCCTTATTTAAATTTGTATTTTCAAAGAACGGAAGTTTAATCATGCACGTGCAACCAGTTCTCTTTTCCCGCTTATCCCAGATGACTTGTAAAGTAGCCGGCTTCTTGCGAAATTAGCGAAACAGCTGTCATGATGCAGATCTCTGCTCCATCCGCTGAGGGATTGTGGCCCACTTGATAGTGCTTGTAACACACTCAGGGCTGACCCAGAGCAGGTGATGCTGGAAAAATTGCTAATGTTATGAGCTGTAAAAAAAAAAAATCTACCAAACTCATTATAAATTTTTATCGTTGGTTCTTTCGGTAAAGTCACGTAGAAGGGAAATAATAAAATAATAAAAATATGAAACAATAAAAATTATCACGACGTTTCGACTGCAACACAAGCAATCATCATCAGGTGTGAAATCCACAGTAATAATTATTTTTCATTATTAATTTGTTTAAATGTATGTATGTTGAACTTTCGCACCGTACGTAGCCAACCATGCTCATCGGAGGTGCGGGCTACGCAGTAGCTCAGTGTGTATTTGTTTTTACGGGTTAACAGATGTATTGTGTAATTAATCTTTCGTGGAATAAAAAAAAAATTGCCCTTTAAACGAGCCACTTAATCCGGCAGTAGGTTCGCCAAGGGGTGTAAGTTACAAGATCAATCGACCAATCTGAGGAGACGTTGACGCCGTGGCCCCACAATGTCCCCCGCGTGTTCCCACGTTCCCCCTCGCCCATGGGGGGAGTCGCCGCTAACTTGTCGGGGTGGCATGGTAGAGGCGGCTCGCGTCGAGGGGGCGGCGTGCGGCGGCGGCGGCGACGGCGTCGGGCCTACGGAGCCCGCGGAGGAGGCTCGCGTCTCCTGGTTGAGCGCGCTGCGACGCCGCAGTTCCCTGGGCCGCAGCGCGGCGGAGCCCATAGCCCAGCCGTGGCACGCGCAGCGCCGGCAGTCCAACACGGCGGCCAGGGAGAGTAAGGGCAGCGGCGTCTTGTGTGCACGCCTGGGTTGGATTTTTATTTTTTCCTGTGCTGGCATCGTGTCCGACTTCTTGAGTGCACGGCCCTTGCCTCTGTGGGGTTTTCCTGGTTCTCTGTGTGTGCCACCCCCCCCCCATTCCCGATTGACTGTTACGTGCGTTTAAAGGGTTGCTCTGGCTGGCAAACAACACTGCTAACATTTTAGAGAATTTTTTTGTAGTTATTAATGGCTCCAGATCTGCACACATAGCCATGGCATATTTCCTTCAATCCATCAGGTATTCACCAAAAACCTTCACAGAATAACAACTAAATACCAAGAACGACAGCGCTGCATTGTTATGCAAAGGTCTGTTAAAGCATGTTGCTTTCATTAATCCACTTCCTTGGGGCATTGAGGTTGATGTGTAGTACTTGAATGACCATTTGGGTTCACACACGCAAGCATAGATACACAGGATGTGCACACATGGAGATACGCACATAGAAATGGTTAACTTATTAGTGTAATTTTATATACAGAATATGAGTACTTGTAGATGTCAATTTGCCTCCGTTTTATATTGATAACTTTATTAAACGATTTCATTCAGTGTGGGCAGTGTTCTGTCACTTAAAATATTATTTGGTGTGGTTTTTATTCTGAGCAGTCGGGTTAATCGTACCTGACAGTTCCATCACAGCCACGATGATGCATTACCCACAGTTGCTACACCACCATGGTGACGTTTCTGATAGCTTCCATTCTCACAGGCAAGCACAAAATTGTCCTGTTTGCTCGTGCAATTGCCTTGGCTTGCGAGTCGGCGATCGGTTAGGAGAGTTTGATTTGTTTTTCCATCCGTTTTGCTGCTAGGATGAGACATGCTTTAACACGCTCACATTGATGAATATTAACAGCAGCACTGGTAATGCCACCAGAGTAATTCTTTAAAGCCGCTGTGCCTGATGAGTACTGGTGATTTGTTTAATTTCCCCACATTTAGGTGAAGTACAGTTTTAAGCATTGTGTATATTTAAAAGCATCGTATTTCAAATCTTTCCCGAATGATGAACGGTGCTCGTCCTCTGGTAGGCCGGTGAATCGTTGCATGAAACATCTTAAGTGTGTTTTCCCCTCCCCCGTAGCTTCGCATTGCATTAAATGGCACACGTCGGGGGCAATTCTGCCTTCAGGCTTTCTCTACACCTGGGCCGCGAAAGCCAGACACTCTTGGTCCAGGAACCATTCTCTCCACATCAACTCCAGTGTCCACCTCCCAACCGGCATTGCAGCGGCACCAGCTGGCGCATTATTTTACCCACCCGCTAGGGATTAAAACTCATGTCTGCATGATTGACAGCCCTGTTGTCTGAGCTAAACCCTGGCTGTCTGATGCAGATGATGCAGGGTGTCCGTAAAGGCATAATCCGTAATTACATTTTTGGGGTTATGGGAACAACAATGCATTTGCCAGAACGCCACAAAGCTTGTGATCTTCAACAGCACAACAGAAGCAGTCAAAATAATAATAGTAATAACCTCCAGATGTTGGCAAACACCTGGAACTCTGGAATTTCGGATGATACCTTCCACGATCATTCGATAAAATAAGTTTTGTGCAATGTTCTCTTTATCAGTAAAATCATACTAATTAGATGAACAAAAGTAACACGCTCTTAGTTTTAGCCCGTAATTACACAGAAGTATGATTGTGTCAGTCAACCGCATTCTGAAGTAAAAAAAAGTGTCTTAGTTGGCACTGAAATGGACGGGGAATGAAGGGAAACCCACACTTAAGGTTTTATGCAGCTGGCCACCGTGGTGTGATACCCTGAGAGTTGGCGTGGCGCTGTGCGCGGGATTTGTGTGTTCGCACAGCGCTGGGTCCTGCCTTAGTGTAAATGGTGGAGCACGGGTGTTCAGCGATGGGATGTGCCCCGAAGTGCCTCATTTAAGCCACGGCCTTGCACCACATTCGGAGTGAAAGGCCCGAATTTGCTGTGGGCTCTAAAGAGCAGTTTGCTATTCTCTCCGCAAAGGATATAGAACAATTGCCAAGTTTTGTTCATGGATTTTTAATGAAACGTTTTGTTTATGGATTTTTAATGGAACGTTTTGTTTATGGATTTTTAATGAATGGTTTTGACGTTTGTCTTCGTTAAGTGGGCGGCGATGGGGGGGGGTGCCCATTATCTGAACACCTGCAAGAGTTTGATTGCCACCGATCCACTGGCTAGGATGATTGCACTTTGCATGATTGTCTTTGGGTTTGCTGTATAATCATTGCTAGACAATATATGCTGTTTCCTCAATTAACCTGTGTGCTTTTCAAAAAAATCATCATGTTATTTTTTTATTCCACATTTCAGGATAATGATCTGTATAATCCTATATAGCCCATTGCATTTAAAAAAAGTTTCATTTACGAAATATCAAGTCTTTTCAGTGATTGTCATGTCCTAATGGCACAAGAGGAGACATTTAGACAATTGTTTAACGAACGATAAGTAAAAAAAACCGTCGCACAGTTTCACATGCTCGCGCGCACTCCTCTGATCAATGTCTGGCTGTTAAGTCACCTTGCAGAAAGTAGCCTCGCATGCAACCAAGGCGAGCTCACCGCACGCCTCTCTCCGTCGGCCAACGTCACACTTGCCTGGAAGTAGCGGCTCTCCGTTATTTATATGTTCAACAGGCGCCAACGGTGGCGAGATGTTAACTGCCTCTCCTGGTATACAGGAGGTCGTCGTGGGTTCGATGTCGACCCTGACGATGCCTGTATATTTCGAGTTGGCATATTCTCCTCGTGGCCGTGTGGATATTTTCTCCGGGTACTTCCTGTTCTACCCTCCGCATTTAGAATCAACATGCGTTCAGAGTACTGTATTTGGCTGCTTTACATTTCCACGTGATAAGCCACTTCATAGGGGCTATGACTTGTGATAGCCAGGTTGCTTCTGAAAAAGAGCTACATTGCTCAGTGGGCCTTTCCTCGTAAATAAAAAGTTGTTTTTTTATTTCTATAGTAAACTAGGAATTGGCTAAAGTTGGTCGCACATCGGATGTGCTTGTGCGCAAGCCGAGCGCCCTGCTGATGACGAGTGTCTGGTCGGTGTGACGTGAACTTGCGGTGCTCTAATTTGGTGTCGGAGGAGCCATTCTTCAATGGGGAGCGATTGCTCCCACGAGACAATACAACAGCAATGAAACCGTTCATTGCTGCCACGTTAGGCTGCACCACCACGTGTCTCGGTGGCAATTCAGAGTCCATTATTTAATGCACTACTAGCATGCTGCGTAAGAACATTTAGTTTCCGTAACAACCCAAATGATGCTTCAGGTACATTTTGTGTTTTTTTAGGCTTGTGTCCCTTGCTGAACATTCATTCCTGTGAAAATGACCCATGTGATTCTAGTGATGCATATTGGCAGTTAAAAAGTCATAATGCAGCTGCCCCCTACCACAGGATGGTTAGATTTAGGCAAGATAGTTAAACCAATGACTTACATCTATTAACCAAATTTTTATTTTATTTTACTAGGTAAGACCTCACTGAGCTACGTAGCTCTTCTTTCAGAAGCGATCTGGCTATCACAAATGATCTCTCAACGAAGTGGCTTGTCACGTGGAAATTTATAGCAGCCAAATGCTCTAAACCAGGGGTCGGCAACCAAAACGAACAAGAAGAGACATTTATTTTTAATTCGGTAAACAAAACTCCACATCTCTTTGAAGAGCTGCATTACGCTGTGGTGAATACTGGACGTTGGCCCTTAATAAATAACTGGCACGAAACAGCCCTTTAAAGAGCCGCAAGTTGCTGACCCCTGCTTCAAACGCGTGACGTTGATTCTAAATGTGGAGAGAAAAACCGGAGGACCCGGAGAAAAATCCGCACGACCACGGGGAGAGAGAGACACGCAAACTCCAAATACACAGGCGGCAGGGTCAGGATCGAACCCATGACCTGCATACTAGACGGAGTTAAAATCTCGCCACCATGGCGCCCTCCGTTCCCTACTCACGTGCCCAGCGAGCACTGCATCTTCATGGATAATAATGAACACAATTTATTTATAATGCACATATTTAACAAATTGGATGCGTTGTTCGATCGAGATCTCAGAGGCGCTCCGAGCCAGGGCTCAAAGTCCCTCGTGCGCAGCCTGGACGGGCAAAGAGAGGGAACGAGACGCAGACTCGCGTAGAAATCAATATGCATCGTATGCAAACCTGAACACGTGCAGGTAGAGAGGCGAGCGGTTGAAGCAAGCGGCAAACCAGAAAGCAAGTTCCATGTTTTCTCTTTTATGCGGTCACAACGGATGTGTTTCCAAAACAAGTGTGAAGATGCTTCATGAACGAGAAGGAAACACTTTAAAGTGGCTTTCGGCAACTCTGCTGTAGCGGCCGAGTGACATCTCTGCAGTAATGCATTGAAACGTAAATAAGTGGCCGTGCAGTGAGAATTGGTTATTCACTGAAGCGAAAAATACAGCACAGACAAAACGGGACAAACGAGACAGCGAAATCCGATACGAAAAATTACCAATTTTTCTTTTGATTCGCCACTTTAGATTGTGACGGCTAAACTAGTTTTTGTGAGAGTGGATTGGGACATGCTTACAGGGCTAGGACGTTGAGTGAGTGGTCCTGTGTTCGCTGCCTCTCATGAATTGAGGAATCGGCGAAGGGTCCCTCTGAACCGTTTAACTTTGGCCGGCACGTGTCGTGCGCGCATGCCTTCACAGGTGCTTCCCCAGAGCAGGTGGAAAAGATGATGGACAACATTGAGAAGTTCATCATGACGCGATTGTACAAGAACGTATTCTGTCCCGAGCACACGGACGACGAGCGGAAAGACCTGGCCATCCAGAAGCGCATCCGGTATGCGTCGCTCGTGTGCATGTTGGTAGGCGTCTGGTGGTGGGGGAGGGTGGAGGGGCGGTGAGGTTGGGGGGGGGGGGTGGCTTTGATGCTTGTCCTCAACGATTATCGTCGTTGGTGATGTGAAGGTACCGTAAGCAGGCGTGCGTCACCGTGCCGGTAATGTAGTCCGCGGGAGCATCTGCCATGAATCATCTTTAAGCAGAGGAGATTCGTAAAGAGTCTAGGCATGAATCATGTCACAGCCATTGCGGTTTAACTTCTCAGTTGATTTTTTTCTCTTTTGCCGTTTTCGTATAGAGACTATTGCTTTGCTCTGCAGACTGTAAATATGCCAGAATGTGCGCAACTTTGAATTTCTGTCAAATACGTGCGGTCTTTGTAGTGCTGGTTTTTGCACGATTCTTTAACTTACGTTGCTGTCTGTAGTTTGTCCTAGCTCTCTAATACACGTGAGAAATGTTCAACATTTCCTGCCTAATTATAGCAGGAAGTGGGCGGGGGTGGAAATTGTTATCGGATCACCATGTGGCTGCCTTTCCTACGAGCCTGTGGTTCCTCCTCGCACCTCCGAGTCATCCTCTTCGAGAGAGGGTGAATGCTCCACGGCACGTTACAAGTCGAAATCATCACGCGAGATGAAAAACAAAAAATTGCATTTTTTTAGATCGCTTTTGCCGTCTGCGTGGGCATGCAGGGCGCTGCACTGGGTGACCCCCGTGCTGCTGGGCGTACCCATCAATGGGGACAGCCCCCAGGTGATCGACATGGTGGAGAAGGCCATCACTGGTACGTACATGCGGGGAACGCGCGTCATGCCCCCCCACCCCCCCAGCGAGCCGCCGCACCTGTGGCTTGTCGTGGGTCGAGCCGCAGCTTCGGGTGTGTTCTTGCGACGCCGCAGCGTTGGGCACCCGTGCTGGCATTATAGCACAACCGGCAAAAAACGTAGCGAGGGTACGTCTATAACGGCGGTGGTATGAAGACGAAGTCCGCGGCTGAGCGGCCGGTCGCGCGACCTGATTGCACGCGACTGAATCGCCTATGGGTGGATGCAGAGATGCCCACGTACAGGCGTTTTGGTGTGAGCTTGCGAATAAGTTGCGCGACATCGGAGAGACGTGTCAGAAAAACGTGTCCGATGTGACTCGGCGAGTCTTTCCTTTGTAATTGAACGGCATGCTTATTTTCACACGTAGACTTTCGCGACCAATATTGCCAATAATATGGGTTAGATCGTGTAAGTATAAATGTGTCGTTAAGTGGCACAGCAAGACTCGGATTGTAAATGTGGAGTTGCTCTTCAACACACCGGTGTGCTGTACTAGTAACAAATTGGCATGTTCTGTTTACGTGACCTTACTAATTGGTTGTGTCGGGTGGTGGCGGGTTTAGCGACACATTGATATGTGAATGTGCGCGTGTGGGCACGATGGTACACGATGGTACGCGATGGTGCGTGTGTCCTGAACCTCCGTGCCACCCACCCCTGCCACCCCCCCCCGCCCCCACTACCCACCTTCCCCACCCCCGCCCCACGGTGTGACCCCGCAGACATCATCGAGATGGACTCGAAGCGCGTGCCGCAGGACAAGCTGGCATGCGTGACGCGCTGCAGCAAGCACATCTTCAACGCGATCCGCGTGTCGCGTGACGAGCCCGCCACGGCCGACGACTTCCTGCCCACGCTCATCTACATCGTGCTGCGCGCAAACCCCCCGCGCCTGCAATCCAACATCGACTACATCACGCGCTTCTGCCACCCCAACCGCCTCATGACCGGGGAGGCCGGATACTACTTCACCAACCTGGTATACGCGCGGCACACGCAGCGGTTTGCTCGTTTTATCCACCACGGATGAGTTGGTGGTGGCGGTGATGACGACGACGATGATGATTAGGGTGTTTTGGTGCACCGATATGGCACGCTCTCGCGATACGCATGTGGAATTGCGCGTTGTGAGAATGCGTTATTGTTGATTCTTGTAGATTTTTTTTATTTTGGTTCACCGTAAACAAACATTAAAATACAAATTTCCCCCCGAATCGTGACGATTATACAATCGGGAGGGATGTGAATTACCAATGACGATGTTTATGATAAGTCGACTTGGCGCCTGACTGGGATTTGAACTCGTGCCCCTTACGAAACGGGAGCTGAGCTCGCGGATCCTCTTCGCGATCTTTGATGACGAGCAATGTCCTGGGTGCAGTTGTCAGCAGTCGGTCTTGTGACCGCTGCAAAGGACTCGTAAAGCCTCCACGTGCTTTGCTGCCATCTACTGAACAAATGTGCTTGGTGCACGAAACCGGTTCGGGGACGAGAGAGTGACGCGGCAAACGACGTTTGACTCGTGTCTCTTGTCACGTCGAGATTTTTCTCGCCCCATCCCATTCCGTGAGCTTGACAATCCGCCTACTGCCAACAGCATTCCCATTCCTATCTAGATTAAGAACGAATTTCTTTTCAACTGATTTTTTTGTGTTCAGTTTGTCGTCCTTCCCCCCCCCCCCCCCCCCCCCCCCCCACTTCCGATTAGCACGGTTGGCTACGTACGGTGCGAAAGAAGTTCAACATACACACAGCGTCTTTACCCATGTTCGATCTTGCCTGGGTCTGCCTGATTTTGTCTGCATCGCCTTGCGTGGCGGTTGCCTGCATCTCACCGCCTGCACGACTGTTTCTGCTTGTCTCTGAACGTGTCTGACCCCGCGTGCCTCCTCCGTGTTCCCTCGCCTCGCCCGCGCTGCCTCGCCGCGACCCCCCTCAGTGCTGCGCGGTGGCGTTCATCGAGAAGTTGGACGCGCACTCCCTGAGTCTGACGCCAGAGGAGTTTGACCGCTACATGTCGGGGCAGGCGTCGCCACACCGGCCCGGGGGCATGCACATGAGCAGCACGGAGCCCGAGCTGAGCCCGGCTCTGCGGCTCATGAACCACAACCTGAGCGCGCTGCACGAGCTCCACGAGCGCCAGGGGAACGTCATCGCAGGTAGCGGCGGTGGCGGTGGTGGCAAGAGGGCGGTACAATGCCCGCTGCTGTAACACTGCGGGCGAAGGGCGCTCGTCGACAAGCGGATGCGCGCATCTTGCCCAGTGTCACTGCCCTTTTGATCAGGAGGCATGTAACGGATTCATCACTTGGAATCGACTGTTAATCTAACGACAGGTGTATCGAATCGTGAGCAAATCGAATAACCTTACGTGTATAAGCAACCGAGTTGTGTGAGCTGCGAGCTGTGAACCGTAATATTCACATTGCCCAATCGGCATGAGCGGTGGCATCGCCCGGCAAAACGCAGAATTGGAGGTTGTAGGTGACACACGCTGTGCAGGTGAAATAACAATCGCAGATTTGCACAAGTTACCCCGCACATAAAATAGACTGCTACATTCTTGTTTGAGATGTTTAACATTTTATGCAATGTTGCATTTATGCATTTGAAAAGCAAGACCGCACTCATGAGACGTAACAAGCCAATGCGACAGTGCGTTAGAACGTGTACATTTTTGTTGTTGAAACAAATCATGACCTCCCGGCTTGAGAGTTCGTCTCAGCGTGGGGGAGGAGAGGTGAATTGTTACGTGCCTGCAAACGTAGCCACGCCGGCATCGGTGGGATCGCATTGCTCAGAGGTAACGACGTACGTCAATTTGGCACCCTCTGTGATGCATTAGCCCGTTGTGGTTGGTGACTCTCCACGGCAAGACCTGGATTAGTGTCATTCCTTACAGACACACCTGAGCAATAATAATAATACATTTTTGTTTCACAAAAGTTCACAATTTAGGAGGGGGGGGGGGGGTGTCTTGCATTTGGCTGATTCACCACTTGATCAGGGCTCTTATTTTGCTTAAAGGAGATCAGAGAAAAATAACCACACACGCATATAGGAGTGGACAACACTCACAGGTGCACGGCGATGAGTTCACAAACCCACTTTCGGTTATAACATCTACGTGCAGCGCACCACCCATTGCCCTCCTGCAGAAGGTGCACTTTGTAAGTCCCATACGCAGAAAACCGTGCAAGACGAGGAATATAAACGTTTAGTCCAGTCCCAGGTGTGCCGTGTCAAATGAAAAAAAACTACGCTGCCCTAACACACATACCCAGTCACCAATAGGTGGCAGCATATATGTGTACGCTACTTTACTCCACACACACATCACTTGCTCTGTGTGTGTGTGCATGCGTGGTGCATGGGGTAGATTTTTTTCTATGTAATTTAGGGGTAAATCATCTCAGTCTGTCAACACATTGCACCTGGGTCTGTCCCATGATCTCTTGCCAGCGGGCGTTCGACACTTCACGTGGCCTTGAAGTGCTCATAGCCTCGCACAAGCGCCAGGGTGACGTCACCGCCACTTAGTGGCGAATGGCGGTTGTTGGTACGTGGGCATTTCGTGTAGGCAGGGTCAGGGCTGACCATTAAACATTCTCACTTGCCTAATAACTTATCCAGATACTATAGTAATGCTTGGCCTTGGTAATAGACTGTTGCGTTATCTTCATACGAAGCTTGAGCGACTGCGCGAACGGCAAATGCAACTTTCCCGGGCCGTTGCCATGAACGCTGCTGGAATAACAGCAGCTTGCGTAATAGGTAGTCGAGGACTTGTGCATTGTTTGACGGAACTAAAAGGCGGTTCTTGTAACCGTGATGGATGTTGTTCAATCTTTGCCGCGCGTGTGAACCTTGTCCGTCGGCAGGGGCACGCGAGATGGAGCGCCATCTCATCTCCTGGCAGGAGGAGGTGATGCAGCAGGTGCAGGACGTAGTCGACAAATTTCCACTGGAGGTGCGGCCGCCCAGCGCCCAGCAGCTACAGCAGCAGCAACAGCAGCAGCAACAGCAGCAGGCCGCGTGTCTCGCACCTCTGGACGCTGACAATGAGGACGACGACAAGCTACCGCCCCCGCTACTGCCGCAGCCGGCAAGCAGCTAGCAGCAGCGGGTGGCCCTTCGGCACTCACTGCCGCCACCCCCCCCCCGCTTCCCATCGCGAAGCATGGAGCGCTCTTCCCTCCCCAACCCACCCACCCGCGCATTTAATTCAAAGGCGCCGGGTCATCGGGAATGTTTATCCGGCTGAGCGTAGCTCGCGCGCTCGCATCGCGCGAATATTACTCCCTCCGTGTTTTTCCCCCGCGCCTAACCGCGGGCCCGGCCCCGTCGGCTGGAAGCTGTTGGAGCTATCGCTGGGGGAGCTTAAGCTGTACAAAATGAGACTGTGGTGTGTAACTCACTGACCGCTGTAACGATGGAGCCCCGAGCATAACGAAGCCACTTTGAAGCTGCTATGAATTGATTCGCTGATGAAAATGAATCGCTACCCTCGTGATATGTGCAACATTGTTGAGAGAATCGATCCTTTTAATGTTGTATACCTCGGCCGTAATGTGTTGACATGACCCTTGCTTGCCACTAAGAGGCCACTCCAGTTCACCACAAGGTAAAACATTTTTTTTTTAATTCTGAATCGTGGCCTCGAATCTTGAGTTGGTGGCAAATCATCGAATTGTACGGAGAGGTGCACGGAATCTTTCCGGCGTGGTGGCTGCAGCCGGCCACACTGGCACGGTGGTGGGACCGGCTGCAGTCGCTGGGCCGCTTGAAGGCTTCGTGGCGGCCTTCAGAAACGCCGGCTGGCACCGCCGCCGTGACTGTGTGAGGTCGTGCTTTTTGGTTTTCGTCGCCCTTGAAAGTCACGGCCATGCCAGTGCTGCACGTAAAACTGTGGGTGCGAGAACCACTATGCCAATGTCAAGCCTTTTCTTTACCCGGGTGTATGAAGGCATTTCAGGCCCCCGTTCCTTAATCGACGCATTTCAAGCCCTGGTCCCTGATTGGCTTAGGTTGAATCGAGACTCGTGTGAATTTGAAAGGAACTGCACGGGTGTCAGCTGACCCTCTTGTTGCTGTGATCTTCAGTGCGGTGCTGCTTTTGAAGCACTTAGAAGATGAGCGATTTGGCATGAGCGTAATAGCAGACCGATGGACGAGCCGCGTAGATTTTTCGTTCGTGCTTCGAAAGCGAGCATTTAAACGGCAGAAGAGACACAGCCGTAACATCCTTTTTTGCACTTTCTGTAAAATGTAGGTAGGTAAATTATCGGGAGCTAATTTGACCTGATGTAAAACATTGAGGAATAGAAAATGTATGTGTCAATTAGCAGCGTTATTGCTCGAGTGAAACCGGGTAAGACTGGTCCAATTTGAGGCTGGTTAGGTCATGGCGTGAGCCCTCCTTTGCCACGATGGAACGGATAGCACTTTAGGGTCCACCGGTTCAAGAACGGGCGTTCGTCGCGCACACGCAAAACGAAACCGACCTTCGGGAACGCAAGTTTGCGAGCGGGTTTTGCAAAAACCTTTACAGTCCGCCGTGCACGACTCGCGAGAAGGCCTCTTTCGGATGATAACTGGGGGGCAAGGCATTTGTTTATTATCCCACTTGTAACTGTTTGACGTCGATTAGACTTTTCAAACGTCGTTGTTAACGCTTGAGCCGGAGAAACTCTGTACGCGCGAAATTCCGCATCTGCTTTGTGATCTTTCACAGGTTTTGCGGGTATTTGGCGCCATGTTCGCTTCCTGCATCTGTTTTACAATTGATGAAGATCGGATGCCTTGTGCAAGACACTTCCCCTGAGTGTTAACCTCCTCGTATCCGGAGGTTTTTTTTTGTCTCCCAGCTCCCCCTCCCCCCTTCCCAAACATCCCAAGCAGGACAACTCCAGACAAAGCCACTGGGGCTCGGTGAGGCTCTCCTAGGTAAATAAATCATTGGTAATAATTCTTTTTTTTTATGCGACTTGGTGGGGGCAAACGCTCTGCCAGGTCCGGCAGTCTAAACTCTTTCTGTCATGCCTGGCAGCTCTTCTGACAATGTGCTCTTTAATACCGCACCGTGTCGCCTCTCTCTCGCCCCTCCCCTCCCCCCTTTGTCGAGACAAAATTCACCAATCCACTATCGGGCATTGCACTGCGCGCATGGCAGTGGGCCGCAAAAAACGTGGGAAGAGGCTGGAGCCATGCCGCGTCTGCCCTCCACGCACTCCTTGCTGATCCCAGCCCCCCCTTTTAATATTGTACACAAACACACACGCGCACGCACGCAAGCATCCCGAGTAAAGTAATTCCTCGTCGGTCCGTTTCGATTCCACAGCTTTTACTCGGCAGCGGCCGAAAGTCGAGCGGCCGAAAGTCGAGCGTACGGCGAAGCGGTCGCTGTACGCCACCACCTCTTCTTGGGAGAGACTCCGTGAGTGTTCGCCACGGTGACCTCCGCAGTAAAGACCGTGCCGTGAGCCCACCCCGCGTGTCTTCTTGTCCGCAGCTTTAGTTCTGCGAGCCTGCGTGGGTTGTTTCGCGTTGATGTGACTTCCTCCCCCCGTTCTCTCCAACTCCCCCCCCCCCCCCCATTTTTTTCTTTCCCTAAAGCCAAAGTGGCGTTATTCTGTTCGGTATATTTATGAGTTCCAAATAAAAACGCGAGAGAGTTCTGTTTGGAAAGCTTCGCATTTTGTGGTTTTTTGTTTGTCATTGTCGCGTCTGTAATAAAAGCCGGGCGTTCCGTTTGTCAGTAGACTAAATTATTAAAGCCCTGTGAAAGGCCTGAATCTAAAAGTTACGGAAAGTGGACTCCCCCCCCCCCCCCCCCGTCAGATGTGGGGGTAAAAGCTGATTCAACAGGTTTACAACAATCGTCGACCCCCCCCCCCCCAAAATGTACTGTCCCCCCACCAAAAATATCTATTTTGTAGGCATATACACCTACACACCCTACATACAATAGGCAATAGTATCTACAGAATCAGCAGAATATGCTATAGAGTCATATATACCTACACACCCTACATAAAATAGTATATGCTATAGAGTCCTATATACCTACACCCTACATACAATAGAGTCAGTAGTATCTACGATATAGTCATATATGCCTACACACCCTACATACAATAGTCAATAGTATCTACAGAATAGTAGAATCTGCTATAGAGTCATATATACCTACACACCCTACATAAAATAGTATATGCTAGAGTCCTTTATACCTACACCCTACATACAATAGTCAGTATCTACGACATAGTCATATATGCCTACATACAATAGAGTCAGTATCTACGATATAGTCATATATGCCTACACACCCTACATAAAATAGTCAGTATCTACACACATTAGGGGTGGGTTAGGGGAGAAGAGGACATCAGTGGGGGCGACGGGAGAGGCGCTAAGAAACGAGAAGCCCTCCCTCGGAGCCAGAATCTCGGCGGTAGCAGGCCGCCAAAATGCGAGTTTGTTAACTGCCTCTAACGCATTTCTCTGCTATTGCGCTTGCCCGTCACGGGGGGTAGGTGGGTGGGTGAGTAGGTGGGTGGCCCATAGCTGCTTCTCTATTCTACGCGGATTGTTTTCAACATTAAGTGGGGAAATGCGCGAATCTCGAGGCGCGCAACGCAATTTGCACTTTAAAGAGGCTTATTTGAGTGTCTCCGTTGGCCTCGCGGTGGGGGGTGGGGGGTGCCTCACGCCGTCTGGGGGAGGCGGCGGCGTTGTTCCTTGTAGCGTTGATTCCGCGTCCCGAGATGCGACTCGTGGGTTTTTTTAATTTCTATATTTATAAAGGCTGCGTATGTCACGTTTTCGCGATTTCCGCTGCGTTTTGTTTACCCTATTTTTGTTGTTGTTGTGGCTGCGAGGCATACTTCATAAAGGCAAAGGAGGCATTTGAACTGCTCAGTGCAAGGTTTGGAAATAACAAAAAATGCATTAATGCCCAGGGGCCTGTCATGACACAACTGCGTGCGTTGGCTGTGTCAAGCACCCCCCCCCCCCGTGACCCACAACCCCCCCCACTTAATGCGATGAGCCACCAATTAATTGTTGCGGGATGTTGACTACCTCGCCCGGTGTACAAGGTGGTCGCGGGTACGATCCCCACCCTTGACGCCTGCTGTGTATTTGGAGCTTGCGTGCCTCTTCCTGCTTGGGTCCTCTGGGTGTTTCTCCTCCACACTTAGAATCAACATCGCGCGTTTAGAGTTTGTGGTGCGTGCGTGTGTGTGTGCGTGTGTGCGTGTGTGTGCGTGAGTGTGTGCGTGTGTGCGTGCGGTGTGCGTGTGTGTGCGTGTGTGCGTGTGTGTGCGTGGTGTGTGCGTGTGTGCGTGCGTGTGTGCGTGTGTGTGTGCGTGTGTGTGTGTGCGTGTGCGTGCGTGGTGTGTGTGGTGTGTGCGTGTGTGAGTGCTGTGTGCGTGTGTGCGTGGTGTGTGGTGTGTGTGTGCGTGCGTGTGTGCGTGTGTGTGTGCGTGTGTGTGTGTGCGTGTGCGTGCGTGCGTGTGTGTGCGTGTGTGCGTGTGTGTGCGTGCGTGTGTGCGTGTGTGCGTGCGTGTGTGCGTGTGTGTGTGCGTGTGTGCGTGCGTGTGTGCGTGCGTGTGTGCGTGTGTGTGTGCGTGTGTGTGTGCGTGTGTGTGTGTGGTGGTGCGTGGTGTGGTGTGTGTGTGTGCGTGTGCGTGTGTGTGTGCGTGTGTGTGTGCGTGCGTGTGTGCGTGTGGTGTGTGCGTGTGTGCGTGCGTGTGTGCGTGTGTGTGTGTGTGCGTGTGTGTGCGTGTGTGCGTGCGTGTGTGCGTGTGTGTGTGCGTGTGTGTGTCGAACTTCTTGCGCACCGTACACAGCCAACGGTGCTCATTGGAGGTGCGGTGGGGAAAGCCGACAAACGAAACAGAAAAAAAATCAGTTGCGAAGAAATGCGTTCTCAATCTAGATGGGGAACGGGAATGCTTTTTTGGGGCAGAAGGTGGTTTCTAGATTTGAAGCTTTAGTGACTGCAAGGATTCATATTCTTGGGTGTTTTCGGTAAAGTCACGTAGGTAAAAAATTCAATTAAAATAAAATAAAAAATCACGACGTTTCGGAGGCAACACAAGCCTCCGTCTCCAGGTGGAACCGTCACAGCACGCTCGCTGTATCAAGTGAAATTAATAAAAGTAAAATAAAAATAAAATAAAAATCACGACTTTTCGGAGGCAACACAAGCCTCTGTCTTCAGGTGGAATCGTCACAGCACGCTCGCTGTATCAAGTAAGGTGGATTGCCAAGCTCGCGTAATGCCATGGGGCGAGATAGATCTGTGTTGCCTCCGAAACGTCGTGATTTTATTGTTTTATTTTTTATTAATTTTAATTTCATTTTTTACCTACGTGACTTTACCGAAAGAACTAAGAGTATGAGATAGATCTCGACGGGACAAGAGACGCGAGTCCATCGGAGGTGCGGGTCCGTGAGCTTACAGCAGCAGCATTACACGCCCGCCGCGTTAGTCTCGTTGTGTTTGCTGCCCTGACCTCTGTGCGCGCACTCATTGCGTGTGCGGTGTGGATTCACTCCCCCACCACCCCGACCACCACCACCACCACCCTTGCCGCTTCCTCCTCCGTGCCTCGAGCCGCACACGTACGGCCGCTAAGCTCGTGTCAATCAGAGGCCCCTCTCGCCTCCTTTAATGCTTCCTCGGCCACGATCTCCAATCATAACCTTTGATTCCACCCGCCTCCTGCTTGCCTCCTTTCCCCCTCTCAGTCACTGCACACATCCGCACGTCGACCTATAAGCAGCGTGTATATTTGTTTTTTCACGTCACCCCCTCTCCCTCCTCTCGATGCGTACGTGAGCGTACAGGATTCGTGTTGGGTTTTTTTTTTTTTGGAAACGTTACTCGGTCTGACGCCTATTCAGGTAACAAATCTGCGTTCCGGTCGCGATTAGTTTTCATCTCGATGAAAATTCTCAAAAAAAAAATCAACGACCGGTCCACTCGCCAAGGGTGTCTCCGGGGTTTTGTTGTTGTTGTTGCTGTTGTTGTTGCTGTGGTGTAGCCGGTAACCTGGGCGTCGTTGCAGATTTCGCTCCGGCAAACGCTCCGAGTAGAGAGAGCGAGCGAGAGAGTGACCGAGAGAGTGACCGAGAGAGTGAGCGAGAAAGTCAGCGAGAGAGTGAGCGAGAGGTGGGGGTTTTACATAAAGCTAAGTTTAAAAAATAAATTACGAAATGATGAACGAAGCAAAGTGCCGAATACACCGAGCATCTTCTTGTTTCCACTGATCGTAAAAAAAAGAGAGCGAGAGAGAGAGAACGAGCAAGAGAGCACCACTCCAACAGCCTCGCCATGCATCAGTGTTGCCTGGAAACTGGGCAGAACATCTCTCCCCGGGGCCCCCTCGGCGGTGTGATTGGTTCCCCAACAAGTGCGCTTGACAGCGGGGGCGCCGCCTTGAAGCAGCACCCCTTCCCCCGGGGAATCGGGCGAGGCGAGGAATGGGTGGGGGGAGGGGAGGTTGTGGGTATTCGTAAGGAATAATAATCGCATTTAAAAATGAAAGACGTTTTAAAATGAAATGTTACCCCCCCCCCAAAAAAAAAAAGCCTTGTGCAAATTTTTTAGAATGTTTGCAAAGCGCGCGTTTTGCGCGTGTGGATGTTTGCGTGTGTATTTGTGTGTTTGTTTGAGTGTTTGCGTGTGTGTGTTTGCGTGTGTGTGTGTTTGTGTGTGTGTTTGTGTTTGCGTGTGTGTGTTTGTGTGTGTTTGTGTTGTGTTTGCGTGCGTGTTTGTGTGTGAGTGTGTGTTTGCGTGCGTGTTTGTGTGTGTTTGCGTGGGTTTGTGTTTGCGTGTTTGTGTGTCTTTGTGTTGTGTTTGCGTGCGTGTTTGTGTTTGCGTGTGTGTGTATTTGTGTGTGCTTGTGTGTGTGCTTGTGTGTGTTTGTGTGTGTGTCTTTGTGTGTTTGTTTGTGTGAGTGTGTGTTTGCGCTGCTGTTGTGACCATGAGGATGCCTAAATTGATTCTTAAAATGTATTTATAAAATAATTATTTCGAATGCTGAGTGTCTGCTGCTGCTGTGTCCTGTACAACGCTTTTTAGATCCTTGATGAAAAAAAGCGCTATATACATTGAATTGGTATTATTACGCGTTATAAACCATGAATACCTCTTTTTTTAACGGGGGTTTGTGTATGGGAACATTTTTTTGGTATTGACCCTCTGGTTTCACCTCCCCCCCCCCGCCCCACTGGGTGCATCCGTAATGTTAAGTGATGTCTGCGTCACATGAGGTGCATTTTGTACAAGGATGAGTGTTGTGTTTATTTCGTTTGTATTTTGCTGGAGTGGGCCAATTCAGCGTGCTCGTGTGTGTGTGTGGGGAGCGGCCACCCGAGTTCGATTCCCGCTTACGGCCAAAACCAGTGACGATTATCTGAACCGGTCCTGGGCCTCCCCTAGGTCGACTCAGCCTCAAATGAGTACCTGGTGCGGTGTGTAAACATCCCCACTAGGGAGACAAAGGCGGTCGGGCATGGTGCTGGCCACCCATCCCCTCGTGTACCGTTTCGGCCTGCATAGGTGCTCGCTAACAGCACTTGCCCCTATAGTCTGTTAAGGATCTTTGTGTGTGGGGGTGCCTTCATTTTGTTTTGTTGTTGGGAAAACAAACAAACAAATAACAA